TTTTCAAATTCAAAAAATACAATTAACCTAATATGTAATAGGTTGTCTAAAGAAAATACTTCTGCAAGCCTCTGCTTAAAGACTTGATATAAAGCAAGCATTATTAACTGTAATGAAGGTTAATAAATTGGTAAAAAATAATAACAATAGATACAATAAACATTATAATGCAAAGATTTATATATATTTAATATATTTGCTTTAATAAATAATAATAATAATAGCAAAAATTTATAATATAAATTTCATGTTGATATATTTGCTTAATAAATAGTAATATTAGTAACAAGTTTTATTGAATTGCTCATACAAACATGCTTATTAGAACATTTGTATGAACTAAGTTCGGGAATTGGTTTTATGTAAATACTCTGAAACAGTGTTCCAACAGGTTTTTAAGCACAAGCTAACCAGTTGGAGCAGAATAATATCCCTAGACTGCGCTCTCGATTATTGGTTATACTGAAACTTTTTGCTATGATAGTTATCTCATAGTGTCACAAATTATAATTAATTTGTGACATTAGAGGTTCCGATTTCCCTTTTCACATTTTTGTAAATAGTTAACTTATTTCTTTATTTAGTATGAAAAACAGTTTCTATTTTTAACGAATTTATTAATGATACTTATTTAGTAATTAGTTTAAGAGAATTTGCTAGCACGTATGTGCTAGAAGGCTAAAGTTTAATATATATTTCAGGAAAGTGTGGATTAACACGTTAATATATTGGGCATGAGAAAGAATTAAAACATGTAGTATAATTAATTAAATATATATAAGTAACAGTTTCTCAAAGATTAATAAAGCAGAAGTTTCCCCCTTAAAAAAAAATAACTGTCTTTATAAATAAATAAGTCCAATTTAAATAACGTTAAATAATTATCATTGTTAATTTTCGCTGTCACAAATACTAACTTTTCTTACATTCATTTTAAACCTAATAGTTTATCTCATCGTAACTATCAAGCCGAATCAGTCCAGGTTAAAGTTAGCTCTCCCAAAATCCAATAGCTACTTTAGAGCAGGAACATGGAAAAATATCGATTTGTATTAATCATTAAGTAAAATTGTAGGCAAATCGGTATTTTTACAAATTTTTCTGCAGTATAACATTAATATTTTGGCTGGAATTAAAAATAGTATAGAGTATAATTCAGGCTAGGTAATATAAATTTGGCAAAACGGTATTTCAAAATCGATATCGATATATGAGGGTGTCAATAGAAACCAAGCAAATTGTTTTTAGTAAGTTTTTTTAAAACTTTAAATTAAAATATCTTAACAACTATTAAACCAAACTTGATAATTTTTGTTATTTTAATTCTATTTAGTTATAGAATTAAAATAAAAAAATTATCAAGTTTGGTTTAATAGTTGTTAAGATATTTTAATTTAAAGTTTTAAAAAAACTTATTAAAAACAATTTGCTTGGTTTCTATTGACACCTATATATTTTTATTGATATTTTTCCGTGTTTCTTCATTAGGGACAGTGTGATCACGTGATTTTCAATTATGTACAGTATACAATATTTTTTTATTTGGATTCTGCAGATTCGTAGAATTCAAATAAAAAATGCTTCATCGAATTTTGTCAGGTGGTTGTCGAGATATCTTCTCTCAAAGTTAATAAACAGTTTAATTCGCCTATCTAAATAGAAGCTGCGCCAAATTATTTTTCAAACTTTGAGCGAATATATCTCGACAACCACCTGACACAATTCGATTAAAATTTTTTTATTTGAATTCTACAGATCTATATGCAAAATACCGTTCCTGAAGGATCGTCGGTACTGTTCCTGATAGGATAGAAAAAAAAAAAATCGAATTATGTACCGTTTCTGATAGGATCCTAAAAACTACATTATTATCAAAGTATAAAACCATGGCGCAAAAATTTGAAGCTCAATAACGACTACCTAATTCAATTGAAAGGTCAATATCCGAGAAACAACAAAGGATTGTTAAATAATTCTGCAATGTTTTTCGGTCATAAAAAATTTTAGCATAAAATTTATAAATATTATTATTTGTTATCTTGAGGATCAATTAGTGATGTACAGTACTATACGTACTGTACTGTAGACAGTCATTTTATAAGTTCTGAAGTTTAGGCCATAACATTTACGAGTTCCTAAATATTCCGAAACGATTACGGAATATTCCGAAACTATGGTATAAAAAAATCCTAATAAATCCGAGTATCATATAAATGGCACATCACTAGAATCAATATTAAGGTAAAATTGTTAGGTTTACATTGAAGTCAACGTTATGAACCAATTAAGAGTCGAGAATTTGGCATCCTTAGCTTCGGGTAGAGGTTGGAGCCGGTTTTAATAATTCGGGTTTATCAAGTGAATTTTGTGATATTTTAGAATTTTATCCAATTAAAATTTAATAAATTCTAAAAATTCACGTGATAAACCTGAATTATTAAAACCGGTTCCGGGTTCTTACTTAAGAACCCTATCAGGAACAGCGTTGGTCGTTTTAGGTCATATCCAACTTTATATGACCAAGGTGGTCATAATATATTAGTAAATTTTATAAGTCATAACAGGTCATAAAATAATTGGCCAATAGGCCATAACAGGTCATAGGCCAACACTGATCAGGAAAGGTACATAAATCGAATTTTTTTTTTTTCTATCCCATCAGGAACAGTACCGACGATCCATCAGGAATAGTATTTTTGCGGTCTATATAATTCAAATAAAAAAAATTTTTATCGAAATTTGTCGGGTGGTTGCCGAGATATCTTCATTCAAAGTTAGTAAATATTATCGAAAATTGTGTTACAACATAATTACCGAAGATCATCAAAAAATTTTGTCACGTGTCCCACTTAGTTGGCAAAATGGCAAAACCTGAACAAACTCAAAAAAAACAATTGCTAATTATAAAAAATTGAATGAAAAAAATTTCTCCAATATATGATATACAAGTGTAAGAATATATGATATAAGTTTGAATAAAGATTATTAATAAAATTTTTGAGATATAAGTTTTGCCAGAGTTTGGGATTTTGTCACGGACAAACCCAAACTATAATAGTTTGGGATTTTGCCAACAAGTATAGAACAAGTATAGTCCCACTATTTTTAAAAACAGCTGTAACAAATATAACCCTAAATCCTAACCCTAACCCTAGATAAAACCACAAAAAAAAGGCCGAAAAAGTTTAAATTTTCATAATAAAATAAATAAAAAATTTCTGCATCCGATTTTCACGATCATAATTACTTTAAAAAAATGTTATCAATAATGTTCAACTAAGATGGTAATGTTCTTTATTACGTAATCAAAAATAGATGATGATTATGGCTGGATATATTTTAATTCTGATTTAACTATTTTTATCAACGGGGAAAAAAATGGGTTAGCCCGATTTTTTTTTTTTTTTTTTTTTTTTTTTTACAAAAGTAAATTAAATTATTTTATCTCCAATATAGAATGAATAAATAACATTTAGAACCGAGTGGTTGTACATTAAAATAAGGATATAATATTTATACCATGAAAGAAAAAACATTTTACGCTTTTATGTTTGTTTAGATGTGAATATTTATTATGAATGACTAACTTATATAAATTTATTTAAATACTGAAACCAATTAACATAATGCATTATTTCATTATATAATGATTATCTCTACAATGATTATTCTACAATGATTAATTGGTTTTATACAAAATTTTTGTCATTTTTAGGGTTTCTCAAGCACCTATCATATACCAATATTTAATTAGGTAAATAATTTAACCATTGCGACCATCCTTTTTTTTCAGAGTTGCGTTGATTGGCTAAATTTAATATTGCAACTTACAGTAAAATTGCTACTCAACCAACACCCTAATAAAGATTAAATTTTATCAAAAAACGGATGTGATGAATTAGTGTATTTCGATATTAAAAAAGTTTTATTAAATTCTAATTTCAACAGAAGAAAATAATAATAGATCTAAAATACTAAAAGGTTCACTTTTTCTAATAATTTACATTTTTTTTTTATTAAATAAATTCAATTTTTTTTTTGTGACAAATGTGACAATACCATAATACAATCACGTGGTTAGTCGTCTGCTTTCTTCTGTGGTTGAAAATGAGTGACACCAAGAGAAAGCCAGACTTCAGGCTTTTAATTATGGGCAAATGGTGGATTTTCCAAATATCCCGCGCGGGATTTTTGGCCTAAATTATGTTAATGCGGGCCAGTTAATTGAAATTTGAAAAAATTACACGTGGAATCTCCATCGCAAATATAATAGCAAAATAATCCAGTGATTCTCCTCAGGAGATATTAAACTCCAGACACAACGAACTATTCGATACATTTCCTAGTTGTTATTTATTTATTTATTTGATTTTTAATTTTTAATAGCTTGGCTAACTACATAGATTAATGGCATACACATACGTATGTACTCCGCAATATATCAATAACTATCGATTCTATTTTCTAAAATAAAACAAGAACTCTCAGATTTATCTTTTGATTATCTATAATATTTTTACACAAACTTTAATTAGGATCATGATTCAGAGAAATAATCAATTACCACGACAATTAAGATATTAATCTAGTATAATTAGATATATTTTATTCTAAGAAAATTTTATTCTTAATACGTAGTGGATTATCAGAAAGATTATTCTATTATTATATACTGTAATTTAATATCTTACAAAGCGTGCAAAATATTTTTTACAACATAGATGTTATCTACAACTTTGTAATTACGTAATGCAGTAATGCTAACTAAAAATCGACAAAATATTTATTAATATCAAACATCATATCGATATTGATATGCATAAATAATCTCATTAGATTTTAGTGAGAGGTCGAAACGGCCCAACCTTTTTTAAATGTTTTAAATGTTACATAATAAAAATTTATATTAATGTGTATACATGCGTTACATAATAAACATTATATAAAAGTTATAACTGTTCATTTCGTTCCTGATATTGTCTTTTGATAAATTTAATTCCATGGAATCAAATCAATTAAATAGTCCATTAAATAGAAAAAATAGTAATGAAGAAGACATTGAAATGGAATCAAATCAATTAAATTGTCAATTAAACAGAAAAAATAGTAACGAAGAAGACATTGAAATGGAATTTAGTCCATTAAATAAAAAAAATAGTAATGAAGAAGACATTGAAGTTTCTTCTAATCTTTGCTCAATAGAAAGCAAAGAAAATAAAGATTTTGAACTTTTTTTTGATTTTGGAGAAATAGATGGCAAAAAATATGGCCGAACTGAAATTTCTGGACATTTTTCACTCATGAATTCTTATATGAAATTTGTAGACATTCAAAAGATAGACTATAAAGAAGAAGAAGATAAGTTAATTGATTGGGTCATTAAAATTTTGAAGGTTACAGATGGTCAACGTTTAAGGTGTATTAAGAATTTGAAATTTACCTTACTATCTATGCTTACTAATCCCGATATTCCCCCTGAAAATCTCAAATTATGTTCGTATTCTTTGGTATATTCTTTTCTTCTTAATGATATTATGGAAAATTTAAATCGTACAAAACAATATGAAATGAAAAAGGAGATAGCTCGTATCCTTATATTAGTTATTGAGAGAAATTTTACAAGTTTGAATGGAATGCCAATATTAAATAATCCCCTTTTACAACCTCTATGTAAGGCTATTATGGAAATGCATCAAGAAGTTATCAAAAATGATATAAATTTATATTATTATATAAGTGGAATGACTAATCACGTAAATGCTCAAATAAATAAAACACTATATTATAACAAAATTGATGATGAAATAATTAAAGATAAATATAAGTTCATGCAAACTTATAGTATTTTCACCTCTGTCTGGCTCGAAATTAATCTTATTATCCGAGGTATTTCGCTCTCTGAAGAGATTAGAGAACATCCTTTTTATAAACAAATTTGTTACGAGTCTTTTTTACATACGGCATTGATTAACGATATTATCTTCTTAAAAAAGAAAATCGATGATGAGCAAATTGATAATTTAGTACTTATCAAATGCAAAAAGCATTCCCTTTGGAAATCAATCCAAAAAGTAGTGAAAGAAATAAATGACTTAATTATTGCTATTAGAGATACAACCTCAAAATTAAGTAAATATTTTTTTCATGATCATAATTTTAATATTTTTATAAAAATTATTGAATTTATCTTGGATGCAAATGTATGTTGGAACGTACGTGTACAGAGTCAAATATATAAATCGGAGAATTCTCAATCAACCAAACAAGAAGCAAAAATGCCAGCAGTAGAGAAAAGTTTTTTAATGAATATGAATAAGAGTCCTATTGAAAATGCTGTGTTCTTTTTTGAATACACAGGCAGTATATTGGGTTTTCAGAGCCTAATAGGAAAGTCACGTAAACTTTTGAATCCCACCCACATCCCATATTTGGAGCTTTATTCTACTTCAATAATTGTTGATTTATTAAAAGGGACCCAAATACATCCAAGATTGCTAAATCATTTACAGAAATTTTTAGCAAAAGAATGTAAATTAGAAAATTATAAGTTATTCAAAGAAAAAGGAAAAATACAAGACGAATTATCACTAGAATATTTCTTATCATACCTATGTAATCTTAAAACTTATAATTTCTTTGGACTAAAAGGAATAATACAAGACGATGTGAATACTACAGCTCTTTGTGCATCAGTCCTGTTTGGAGTCCTTGGTGAAAACCAAGTTAAAGCAATTGCTAAACAAATCCTTCAAAATGTTAATGAAGAAGGTATTATTGAAACTTATTTCCCTCCTAGAAAAGGAAGGGAAAATCGGATTGACCCAACTGTATGCGCAAGTGCTATGCGTTTAATATATAAGGTAGGATATGATAAGGATGCAAAGAAAACTGAGAACTACCTTTATTATACGTTAGCAACTAAGTCTTATCTTGAAGGATCAAAATATTTTCCTTCTCCAGATACATTTCTATATTATCTATATAAAGCTATTATACTTTCTAAAGATGCATTAAATAAATTTGGCGCGTTACTTGCTGTAAATGTCATAGATCGTTTAGGTACAACTAATTATCCTTTAGACTTAGCTATGCGAATCTTAATTGTCGAGGGACTAGGATTACTTAAACATGAGCATATGCCTGAAATAATTAATAAAGAAAAACAGACACTTGAAAAATTACAACAAAAAGATGGCTCTTGGCCTATAGATGCTCTTTACAAGACAGGACGCTCTGAGATTTATTTTGGAAGCAGAGAAATTAGTACAGCTTTCTCATTAAAGGTCTTGTATGTCATGAAACACGCGGATCTAATACCGCACAAACCTTTCCTATGTGATATCTGCCAGATAATAAAAGAAAAGAAAGATAAGGCGCCTATTTCAAATGGGAATTAATTATGTGTTGAATTTTTTTTATTTTTAATTAAACTTTTTATTAGTACAATTCACATGCTTTTCCAGTATAAAAAAGTATAGAAGTAGTTAATTAATATACTAAAAAACTGTGTCTGTTGTAAAGAGCGAATTTAAATTAGCGTTAGTAAATTTATTAAAATTGAGATATTTGGTAAAATTATAAATTTAGTGAAATTGTGAAATTAAAAAATTAGTAAATTTATTCTATATGTAAACGAATGTATATGTAGGCAACTGAAATTTATCGTAATAAAGGACAATTGTGGAGTAAAGTTAAAATTCAATGAATAAACCCGAATTATTAAGAAAATATCTCGATAATTAGAAGAAAGTGCAATTTAATGAATTCGTGACCACATTAAGTTCTCTCATTGCATAAATGTTTTAACTTCATCAGCATTAATAACTATATGTTTTCTCTATGTATCCAAAACAAAGTTTTTTCTTGTTTCCACGTTGTAACTTGTATTGAGTAATAACACTATTATAATATACTTGTGTAACGCTAGCTATAACTGTTTGTTATCAGTTTCGATCAGTGTCTAAGATTCAATTTAAATTTTAGTTTGCAAAATTTACATCCGGAACCGCATACAAACTTCAGGTTTTTAGTTGTGAAAATTTAAAATTGTTTGCGGCCGCAAGCTCCGCAACCCAATTTCAGACAATGGTTTTGATAACATTAATTGTGGTGTTTAATTATTGTGTCACATAATATGGGTCGTGAAACTTTCGTTAAATTCGTGTTTGCATTATTCGGTAAATCTGTATATCTGATTGGCGTGATCATAAAGTGCCAGGAGTTTTCCGAACACGTGATTATTCTATCCCCTGTCTATGTATCGCCACCTTGCCACCAAAAAATTACTTATATTTTACTTCTTTAGCAATTTCTATAGTAAAATTACTTAAGAAGTTTTTTTAGAACGCGAAAAGTAGCTTCATTATGTTAATTTTTGAAATATAAATAATATTTGACAAAGCAAACGATTACTATTCCACCGATTAATGTTAATAAGTCATCTTTATACTTACGCCCTATTTGTAGAGATAAGTATATATTTATGAATTAATATTTATTTTCATGATTTTAATTCTACTGTTGTCTTCGAAAACGGCGAGTCAGTCGCTCAATCTTCAAGTCTTCCGTGAAACGTGCTAAGATAACTCATCGAATAAGGCGTTTAGATTTGGCAAAGGAATTCTAAAGCTTCGATTATCGCTTGCATCACGTTACTTCTTTCTCTTATCACAAAGGTCCGTTGAGTTTCTTAACTTCCTTAATCTACTAACTTTGACTTATCCTCTCTCTTAAAATAATCAACAATTCGGTTCTCGGCAAGTTCTTTTTACTCAACAAACGAACGTTTCGGTTTTACTCTTACTGAAGAGTAACAATTCGACAGCGTAACGTTATGACAGGTATAAGTTTATACAATTAGCGAAAACGGGTTGGAAATATAAGCGAATTTATGGGTTAAAGGAAGGTTTGGACTTTATGTTATCAGTCGAAAAAGTTTATCAAGTGAATGATGATTTTATTGAAGAGCAAAAATGCCCGCTTATATAGATGTTGGAACAATGGGTTTGCCGATAAGTCTTTTATTACTTATCCCTCTTAAAAGACTTATCGCTCCCAAAGTCCCTTTAATACATATAACTAATATAAATAATAAAATCACTAAAAGTAATAAATGTCCTATAGTACTTATCCCTCCTAAAAACCTTATAATAATTATATAATCGATCACCCATAAATTTTTTAAAACCTTTCGCCCTTATAAGAGATTTAGCCAATATCTCTCTTATAGAACCCAATTTCACCATGTGACAGTAGGTAGTAGATATATTGGTGGTGTGACCATCGTCCCGACCTACTTCGCTAAATAATTCCAACCCATATTCGCTAAGTTAATAAACTTATACCTGTGATAACGTTACGCTGCCAAATTATTACTCTTCGGATAAGAGTAAATTAATCGTTGTTATTGAGTAAAGAGAACTTGCCGAGAATCGAATTGTTGATTATCCTAAGAGAAAGAATAAGTCAAAGTTAGTAGATTAAGGAAATTAAGAAACTCAACGAACTTTTGTGATAAGAAAGAATAGAGAGAAGTAACGTGACACAAGCGATAACCGAAGCCTTGCCAAATCTAAACGCCTCATTCGATAAGTTATTCGCACGAAAATCCATAAGATTGAACGACTGACTCGCCGGTTTCAAAGACGACACTACCACTAAACTAACTACTGTATATAACTCTAATAGTGGAAGGCTACGAAAGAGGGCGTGGAAGATTTGGCTAGAGTTTATTAGGGATAAGGTCAGTTTTTGTAATTATTGGATAAACGAATGTGGAATTGGAGCTCAAGAGTTTTAAGACTTTAATGGTTTTAACTCGAGACGAGTTTTTATTAAAAACACAGAGCTGAGTTCTCTTTAAGGAAGAGTTAATGAAGAAGTGCTTCAGTCAATGCCTTATTCAAGTTGATTACTACAAGTGTTTAATGAAGTTAGAGTAATGTTTTATCATTACATCCGATATTTAAAGAAGTCAAAACAGTGTTCTTGCAAAAAGCTTCTGATATCGCTTTTATTCCGTTGAAACCAAATTTATTACCATAAAGACTCAAAAAGGTTAAAGTAGT